AATGATACAGGTTTAGGTATATGTTCATTCTAATTTCTTTGAGGCAGCATTTGTGTTTTCCATGGACACCACAAGCATGCTTGCACCACACCGGTAGAGACCTTGTAGGTCTGCAGGATCACCAAAAAATATCCCAAATCTCTCTCTTCCTCCGTATCTGCTGCTACCCCTCACCCCAGTCCCAAGCCGTCTCAGAATTATCTAGAAAACAGCAATTGCTTCCTAGCTCCTCTCCCTGATTCCAATGCCATCAGTTCTCCAACCACCCGCCAGCCAAAGAAATCTTCTTAATGCCACAAATTATGTCATGTCACTCCTCATGCTGAAACCTTCTAAGGGACTCCCAAATGCATTTCGACTAAAATCAAAACGATTTATCATGGTTTCCCTGCTTCCGCCCTGGTCCCCCAATATCTGCTCTCAACACAGCAGCCGAAGGGATTTGGTTCATGTTACTCCTCTGCTCAGCGCCTTCTAGTGGCTCCTACCTCCCTCAGAGCCTCCACGGTGGCTTCAAAGGCCCTACACGATCTAGCAATCCATACCCTGGGACCTCATCCAGTACCATTCCCACCAAACACCTTTCTCTTCCATGTTTGCAATGTTCTTCCCTCATTTCCCTCGCCTCACTCATCTCTTGGCTCAAATGTCACCTCCTCAGTGAAGCTTCACTGATCACCGGAGATGGCAAACTCTTTCCCATGCCCACACTCCCTAACTCCCTTTCCTGCCTTACTTTTTTCTCCTGACCACACAACTGCATCTGACATAATGTAAATTCTACCAGTTTATCTACTGATTGACTAGAAAGTTCCATGTAAGCTCTAGGAGGGTGGATATTTGCTCCATGACATTTGGGATTTTGATCTGCTTCATTCACTCCTATATCCCAAGTGCCTAGAACAGTGCCTGGCACACAAAAGGTGCTTAATAAATATTACTGAATGAAGGAAGGATCTGATCCTGCCTTCCCTGCCTGCCTTCCCCCCCCCCCCCCCCCCCCCCCCCCCCCCCCCCGTCATCTCTACCTTTTTGCACTTGCTCATTGGGTCTCCAGCAGATCAAACTCATGTCCCCCTTCGTCACAGCCACTTCAGTTTGGAATGCTCTAGTGCCAACCACTCCACCCCAGGCACTCTCATACCATACCTGAAATCACCCTGCTTATTCATGAACCCACTTCTTTCTGTCTCTACCACTGGTGTGGAATCTCCAGAGCAGGGGCTCTGTGCTGATCACAGCCGCTTCCCTGGTGCCTGCAATGGGCTTGGCACATAGTAGGTGCTCAGTAACCATCTGTTGGAGGTGTAACCAGCCAAGCTCATGTGGGTCTCAGCTTTCTCAAGTTTAAAATAAGAAAGCTGAAGACACTCTCTGAGGTCTCTTTTAGGCTCTTTATAGAACTATGATTTCACGGTCTTGTACCGCAGTATAGTTAGAGAGCCCTCACTTACGGCAGCTCCTGCAAAGCTCTGGGAGGTAATTAACAGGGTGGTAATTATCCAGCTTTTGCATCTGAGAAAACTGCTGACTATGGGTCTGGCCCAACAGGCACAGCTCTCAGATGGTGTAGCTGGATCTAAATCCACAGGGCTTTCAGTGCTGCTCTAAGGATAGCAGAATTTCTAGTCCTTATAAATAGCCTCAAGGAACCACAAATCTGGCTTACTGCACACTAATCCAAAAAAGTACATCATGTGAACTTCTCATTGTTTTCCACGAACACACTGGTAATTCGAGAATGAAAGATCAAACAACGCACGTCCCGCCTCAGGACTCCTCTGACTGTGGAACATCGGGATCTGCGTGCAGAACTATTGGCCTTTGAAGCTCACATTCGGATCACTTGTTTGAGCCCGCCAGGACGTTCGAAAGCTTTGGGGTGTAGCTCTACAAGCACAGCTGCGGTGTGTCTTGGCGGTACCAGTACGCAGTGGTGAGCTGCGTCCGCCTTCCCCGACAGTAAAACCACTCTGTTGGGTTGTGGTTTGGTTTTCAGAAGCCTGCTGAGGTCCCGGCTCCGTGAAATCAGTAGGGAGACTCCGCGCTCTGTCCCGGCCAGCCCGCCGAGCCGGCCGCGGCCGGAGTGCTCGGAGGGCAGGGGCAGCCCCGCCGCGCCCCCACCCCCGGGACCTCGCGCGGCACCGCGAGCGGTAAGGTCCCGGGACCGGGCGCCGCCGAGCGGCCGGGCGCCCCGCGGCCCCAGCTCGGCCCCCCGGCGTCCTCCTCACCGGTAGGTGGTCAGCAGCGCCTTGTTGACCAGCACGATGAGGAAGGAGCAGGTCCCGTAGAAGAGCGCCGACAGCAGCTTGGCCACCCGGGAGGGCAGCCACGCGGAGGCGGGGTCCCGGTCCGCGCCCTCGGCCTGGCCGCCCGCCGTCATGTCCCGCGGCCACCCGCCGCCCGCCGCCCTCCCGCCGCCGCGCTCCGGCCCGCCCCGCCCCAGTTCCGTCCCCGCCCGCGGCCGACCCGCGAGAGGGCGCGGCCGAGACAGGAAGGGCCGCGGCCGCCCCGAGTGCGCGCCCCGGGAGAGCGCCCCGCGGCTGCGGCGCGGACGGTGCGGGCGGCTCGAGCTGGCGCTCGCCGGTCCCCGGGGCTAAGCACCTCCTTCCCGCTGGCGGAGGGCAGAAACGGGGTTGGGACAGTAGAGCAGACCTTCCGCCTTCCCAGTTGCCCTCCTGGGGCTGCAGTTTAGCCTGAGCATTTGTTTTGCCTTTTTTCCCCTACACTTTTTAATGTGTAATTTACGTAAAAGGAAATGGAAGTTTCACAAGCCCACGGTTCGTTGTTTTGACAAATATGTACCCCCTTGCAACCAGCCAAATCACATTTCCATCACCTCAAGTAGTGCGCTTTGTGCCCCACTGAAGGCAATCCCATCTCATTCTGATTTCTATTGCCGAGTTAGATTTGCCTCTTCTAGAACGTCGTATAAATTTCATGTATGTACTCTGTCAAGGCTTTTACTGTTTAGGGCTTTGCCACCCCCCCTTTTATTTCTTTAAAATGCAGCGTAGGACCACAGTTTATCCATTCACCAGTTGATGAGCATGGTTGTTCCCAGTTAGGGCTTTTATACAAAATGCTTCCATGAGCCTTAATGTACAAGTTCTTGTGTGAACGTCTGTGTTCATTTCTCTCCAGTTAATACGTAGGAGTAACAAGGGTTAAGGTGGGTGCAGAGCCTCAACTCTTTCCTTGCCTCTAGGTGCTTTATGGCTGGTTCTCTCCTTAATATCAGGGCCCATTGTTTTTCTAAGCGAAGAGCAACTAGCTTCAGTGTTTGTTGTGAAGGAGAGCCTACCAGAACTGCCTACTCTGACCACACTCTACCTGATGTAGCATTTTTTTTTCAAATAAGTGTCCCCTATTTTCTTTCTCAATAATTAACTTTAAAAATCTGAAATTTTAGCTTTTTAGAAAAGCTAAAGATTTCAAATGAAAGAAATGTTTGAGCCTAACTATTGATGCCATACAATTGTTTTTCTGTTGTAGGCATTGAACAACCAGTAATTTTCAACACTGATAAGAACTAAAGCAGAACTTTTAACAAATAACTAGCTCTAAAAAAGCCAGAAAGTAAGAGTCCACATTACCCAAAATAAAAAAGCAAACACAGGTTAAGACCATTTTAAAAATAGAAAATGGGGCGCCTGGGTGGCTCAGTCGTTAAGCGTCTGCCTTCAGCTCAGGTCATGATCCCAGGGTCCTGGGATCGAGCCCCATATCGAGTTCCCCGCTCCGCGGGAAGCCTGCTTCTCCCCCTCCCACTCTCCTTGCTTGTGTTCCCTGTCTCGCTGTGTCTCTCTCTGTCAAATAAACAAAATCTTAAAAAAAAAAAAAAAAGGAAAGAAAGAAAATGGGGTGCCTGGGTGGCTCAGTAGGTTAAGCAGCTGATTCTTGATCTCAGCTTGGGTCTTGATCTCAAGAGTCTTCAGTTCAAGCCCTGCCCAGCATGGAGCCTACTTAAAAATAAATAAATAAATGAAATGAAATAGAAAATGAAGTCATATTCCAGTTGAACCAAAAACTCTGAACTTGAAGTCATTTTGGATAATTTCCTTTAAAAAGATCAATTTAGTTTCCAGTGAGTCTCCAAATAAGTTTTGGCTGCAAAACAGTAAACTCACTTTTAATAACAGCCTTAATCATATTTGCATTTAATTTGCTTCTACAACATACATACTTCCAGGATCTGAAGTGGCTGTCAAAATCTCATCCTGTTTAAATTACAACTCACACTGAAGAGCTCTGTGAAATTCTTTTGCTCAAAGCCTAGACAGGCTGAACCTTGCCTATTGCAAGTATATGACTAAAGATAAATAACTAATGACAAAAATTAAACCAACTTGCTTGACTCTTTAAAAAGTAAACAGGCCCTGAGTGGCTTCTCAGGGAGATGACCACATTCAACACATCCTGAATATACGTGAAATAAAATCCCAGTTCCTGATCACCCTTACCGTGAGGCCTGGAACAGAGCTGGCAATACATATCCACACCAGTGTATTTTTAACACTGTAACAATGAACCAGAGGAGGAAGTTAAGTTAATATGTATAATCTAAAAGGCCATAATTTTAAAGTAAGAAAAAGCAATTCACACTATGGTTTCTACCATGCTAAACAGATGCCTGAGGAGACACACTGGAAATGATATATAAAACGCACCAAATAACAATATGGGAGGATGTAGGGCTGTAGGTGACATTTCTACCTTTTCAATTTTTTTATATTATGGTTATCATATTGTTGATAGGAAAACAAAGTATAAAAGGGTTCAAGAATGAACATGTAAGGGCGCTTGGGTGGCTCAGTCAGTTGAGCATCTGCCTTCAGCTCAGGTCATGATCCCAGGGTTCTGGGATCGAGCCCCACGTTGGACTCCCTGCTCAGGGGGGAGTCTGCTTCTCCCTCCCCCTCTGCTTGTCCTCGTGGTCTCTCTCAAATAAATAAAATCTTAAAAAAAAAAAAAAAAGAATGAACATGTACTCTAAACTGTAAATTAAAATAAATTTTTATTCAAAGCATCTTTTAAAATTACAGCATCTTTATTCTTATGCTGTTATCTCTGCCAAACTACAACTGAGCCATATGAAGCATAAAACACTTCAAAAATTTGAATGTAAACCACATTTTTAAAACAAAAAGCAGTCTTAACACACCTCAAATTTTAGATGCCAATGTATTTTGTCCAAGTATATAGCTTATATCAAAAAAGAACATTTTAAATATTTCTATAGTAATTGTAATAATTTCTTAAACTTCCAATTATACAAATAAAAAATGTTTGTGAATATAACTATTATAGTTGACAAAGGCTGACCAGAAAAAGAAACAAAAACCCTTACTTTTGAAGGCCTTAAATTTTATTATCCATGAATTGGGAAGTATTTGTATTTTTTAATACAATTTACTGCCCTTCCTTCTTTAGGTAAGTTCATCAAATTTTAAATTTCCCAAGGCTGATGAGTGTTGCTTTTCATAGTTCATTTAAGTTATATTTGAGAGGAAAAATTCTAGAGAAAATGCTGAAACCTAAACCATGAAAATTCTGATGCTACAGTCTCTCTTACTGTGCTTATAAGTGCTGCAAGTTAAAATTCTATATACCAGATTACAAACAAAATTCTTAGACCATTACAAATATAAATTCTCTTATTACAAAAAAGAATCCCTCAAGATTTGTAATTTACTGTACAGAGGAATTACATTTTTAAAGTATGTCCTCATTCATACACATTATTTGTTACTATCATCTTTCACACTTTTGCTTCTTTCCAAGACATTTACATACCACCCCTTCCCCATGGCTACGCATTTTAAACTACCTGTGAACTGCAACACGCTGGAATTTTTGGATAAAGAAGCCTACATTTTAGGTAATGTTTAAACTATGTCCGTAGGCTACTACTTCAAAAAGAAAAAAAAAAGGCACTGAAGAGCCCATTATTTCCCTCTATTATTCTGAGGTTTACTCCAATTAAGCAATCTATCAAATTAAGTTTCTGCTTAAACAAAAGCTTCAATGATGGAGGTTTATGCCTACACATAAAGGAGGTGAACTGCTCAGGTCTTGATTTTTCTGTTCATGCTTCAGTACATAAAGTGGTATTTAAAAACTTCATCTATTTGGAAAAATGGCTTAAAACCACCACACAAGTTAACACACTTGCAGTTGAAACTATTCCAGAAACCTACTTATTTGAGTAGCTATTATTTTCTGCAGTGTTTAACTATCTGGTAACTAAATTTAGTGAACACAAAATAGCTTGGCATGTTATTCTGAAGTAAAGCAAGAAGGTGGCTTTATGCACTGAAAATATAAATATGAGGCTTCCATCTGCTAATAATTCTAAACAAGCAGTACAATTAAAATTTAGTGTTTGCTAACAAAAGATCTAAAACAGTTCACTACAAAACCACCCTGTAGATGTCCCTTTTATTAATAAAAATCCAAGTGCCAAATCTCATTACAGGGCCCATAATATTAAAAAAAAAAAAAACCAACACACAAAACCAATTACCAAGTTACCTAGACTTTGCAAGATTAATCACTCAATTTCAGCAAATGAGAAATATGCAATGTGCAAAAGTTCCCAAGTTAACATAATAGGGATGCCAAGTGCTTTTCAAACGTAAATATCATAGTGAGTTGTAAAGCCTCAGAAAGATAGAATAAGACTGATATTACTCCAATTCTGAAAATTCTCAACTACGGTGCATCTTACCAAGATCCTCAAAAATCTCTTCTCTTCCAAAGTCCATAACTTAGAACATCTTCCAAAATGGTCAGTTTTCCACTTCTCAATAGGCACACTATTTTGCAGTTTAAAAATACATATCTTACACACATATCTTATACTTTCTGGCTTGCTTCAGTGTTTACAGCATTGTTAAACATACTAATATACATTGTTAAAAATGATCTTATAAATAATCTATTTCAACGTTCTTTGGCTACATGTACCATTCTGTTTTTTCATACAAGTGTCTTATTCAGAAAGTGCTTCCTGTGAGAACTGCTTCCAATGAATGCATTAAACTTGCAAAATCTAGCTTCCCACAATATGTCTTTTTCTACCCTGTACTAGAAGTCCCATATTTACAAAATATTTTAAACTTTACAACAAATCCATTACCATATAAAAAAAGTGCAATTCTCTCTCACCCCATATTATGGGGCAATGACATTCTTCATAAATTTCTACAGAATAGCAGCCTATGATAAGCAAATAAGGTGCTTAGCTTATGCCCACGGATCTACTTTTTAAGTACGCTGGGCAGTACTTCTGTACAGTGGAAGAGCCGGTGTCCAGGCTACTGGCGGAGCGGCGCTCCGGTCAGGTTGGCGAGCTCTATGAGAGCAAGGGCTCCGTGCAGGCGCTCCCGCTGCTCCTGCAGCCGGCGCTGGGCCCCGCGCTTCTCATCGTCCTCCTCGTCAGACTGAGGGTATTCCAGAGGGTCCTGCTGCTCCTGATCGGCCTTCTGAACGTGCTTTCCTTTCAAGGTGGGGGCACGCTGCTCTCTCATTTCCCAATACCTATAGGAAACGCATGCACGTTAGCTGTAGGTATACACGACCTTTTCAAATGTTTGATTTTCCTTTTGAGAAGAGGTTCTTTACCACAGTATTATTTTTTCTGCGTTTTAGTTTATAAAGCTATAAAGTAATTTCACATACATTACATATATTTCCCATTACAGAAGACAAAGTTCAAGGTCAAGAAATTGAGGGACTTGCTCAGATTTCCAAAAATCAAAAATTGGCAGTTCTGAGTCTTCTACTCCATTCTCTAGTCTAGGGTTTTCGCCAATAGACGACCGCTGCCTTTAAGATCATATGTGAAGTGGACTACAGTAAAATACACAATAGTAGAACAAAAACGTTACAGGTCAATTACACCTCAATAAAGACATAAACTTTAAAAAAGTAGAATAATCATTAGAAACCTATTTATCCTATTCCCAGAGGGATGGTGACTTCTGACAGAGCTAACTATGAGAAACTTGAAACCCACAAAATATGACAGAGTAGTATCTGTAACACACAGAGCTTATTCAAAAATTTAAGAGACACCACCATTATTCTATTACATAGCCAACTGATAATTCCCTAGAAAAAATGTTCCACCTTTAGGTAACTGAAGAAAGGCATATCTGAAGAACAGTAGCACTCCATACAAAAATGTCCCATACAAAGCTGTATATTAACACCATAGCTTTATTTATAATAGGCAAAAACAACTCAAATGCCCAGCCACAGGTGAGTGAATAAATAAGCTGAGGTGTATCCATACAACAGATTACATTGTAAGAAGGAATGAACCTAGGGTTGTAAGGTGACAGATGGTAGCTACACTTGAGGTGAGCAAACATAATGTACAGACTTGGTAAATCACTATGCTGTATACCTGAAACTAATGTAACATTGTGTGCCAACTATACTTCAAGTAAAAAAAAAAAACTAAACTGGAAAAAAAAAAAAGAATAAACCATTGATACAGTCAACAACATGGTTGAATTACAAAATAATTACATTGAGTAAAAGAAGCCAGACAACAGAAGTACATACTGTATGACTCCATTTGTATAAAAATCTAGAAAATGCAAACTAGTTCACAGTAACAGAAAGCAGATCACTGTTGTCTGAGGAGCAAGAAAGCAGGGAAGGGCAGGAGTGATGAATTACAAAGAAGCATGGGGAAACTTTTGGAAGTGATGGATATGTTTACCATCTTGATTGTGATGATGGTTTCACAGGTGTACACATATGTCAAAATATATCAAATTGTACACTTTAAATGTATAGAATCTATCGTGTGTCAATTGTACCTCAGTAAAGCTGTTTTTAAAATTACACACACAAAAATAATACAACTACTAGATTTCAGGAAATCCAGACATCTCAAACTGGAAAAATTTGGTCAATACTCAAAGGTATAAAAAAAGACATGCAAATAGTTCAGTATGACTTCAAGGACAACTAGGAACAGAGAACAGCAAAGAAGCTTAGCAAGGTCAGCTGGGACCAGGCAATCAAAGACTTTGAATGCCATAACAAAGGGTTTAGACTTTACACTGAGTAGAATCCACCAGTCCGTCCCTGAGCAGATGGGAGAAAGGGAGGATGAAGGCAAAATGACCAAGAAGTTTCTGACTTGGACAAAATTAGAGTTAATGGGGTAGCGGAGGCCAGGCAGGAGGAAGAAGGAGGGAGGAAGTGATGCAGTAAACAAGACAAACATAATGCTTCCTCAGGTGGAGCTTCCGGTCCAGCAGGGAGGATAGACACTGAACAAATAAATGTGTGATGAAGGTTTTGAAAGAGAAAACACAGTGTGTTGTAAAAGCATCTATTAAGTTGGTCTAACCTTGTTTGTTCTGGGGGTTAGTGAGCAGGTTAGGGAAGGACTTGCTGAAGCAATGTTCGACCCCGGTAAGAAATGAAGAAAGAGCAGAGTGGCTAAATGAACAGGAAAGCGGCATTCCGGGCAGAGGGAGCAGAGACCTGGGAGCCCCACTGAGAGTGGTGCTGACAAATAGGAGGCCCAGGTAGCTGGACACAGCTGCGTTGCCAGAGGGAGGCAGAGCTATGGCAGAGGGATTGGATTCCAGACTTGATCCTAAGTGCAGAGGAATCCGAAGAAGTAGGGAGGGTCCCGAAGAGCTGATGCTAGTTTGTACACAACAAATGACTCCTTAAATCAGGATACCTTTAGAGAAACTTTTTTATACTGGCCCCCTTGTTGCCATTAAAAAAAAAAATTAAACTGGGTGCTTTGTAGAACTTTACTTTAGAAGAACCTCTAGCCTGTATCCCAGTAATAATCAGCACATATCTAATACAAAGAAAATGAAGAGAGGCTGCACTGTGGAATACAAAAACATATAAAACATTCTTAGAAAATGAGGAAAATTCTTGCTTTTAAAATAAATGGTGGGCTGGGCACTCAGACTAATTAATATCATGTATTTGTTTTCTATCACACACCAGATCCTCGTGCCACTCCTAACAATTCTGTGGCTTAAGGAAATAAAGCACCATTTCAAGTTATTTTATAAAATGTGTATAAAAGCAACTTATTTAAAATGAGAGAACTGTTGAAGCTCCCAACATCAACCCATGTGCTGGGCGAAATTCTGCAGTGGAGTGCAGGGAGAACCTTACTTTGCCAACCACTCGGCGGCAGCCTGGTTGTCCACAGCCTGGTGCTTACTGAGGGCGTCTGTGGGCTCCTCTCGTTTCAGCCTGGCATAAGGGTGCTTCGGACAGTGGCGGTTTGCATGGGTGAATCTGCTTAGGCAGCCTTCAAAACATAGAGGGAAACACTTATCAGAATCTGGACATCCAGCAAACATGGAAAATGTTCAGTTTCCCTGGTATCCAAGAAAAGCAAATTAAGACCATGGGATTTAGCATTCTATAACTTAGAGGAGGGAAAAAACCACCCTAAGGGGAAGCAGATCCTTCACCTCTTAGTCATGGCAACATAAAGGCATCAACCCCACCAGAAAGTGATTTATTAGCAAAACTGGTCAAAACCTCTGACCTAAGAATTCCATTCTTGGAATCGATTGTAAGGAAACATCCCATAAGATGAACAAAGCTTTACAGAGGAGAGGAAGCCATGCCCTTCAGCTTTGTTGGCAACGAACAAATTTTAAAAACAAATATGCAATATCCAACATTGAGGCAATCATTGTACATATGCTTAAGCAAATGAAAGTGTGTAAACAGGGGCGCCTGGGTGGCTCAGTTGTTAAGCGTTGCCTTCAGCTCAGGTCATGATCCCAGGGTCCTGGGATCGAGCCCCGCATCAGCCTCTCTGCTCTGCAGGAAGCCTGCTTCTCCCTCTCCCACTCCCCCTGCTTGTGTTCCCTCTCTCGCTGTGTCTCTCTCTGTCAAATAAATAAATAAAATCTTAAAAAAAAAAAAAAGGTGTGTAAACATTCGTTTTTTTTTTTTTTTTTTTTTTTTAAATTTTAGTTGGTGAATATACAGTGTAATATTGGTTTCTGGAGAAAAGAGCGTAGACATTTGTAACAACTGACAACAATCAAGAGAACCACAGAGCAACAGACAAACCTATATTGAATTTCAGCTATAACTATGTAAAAATGTGCATAAGGAATACATCTCAAGAAATTCTGATAGGAGATTTAGAAAATCACTTAAGAAAAGTGATAAGAAATTACTAACAGTGGCAGTAAAATGGAAAATCTCCCCCTTTATTGAAAATTTAGAAATCAAGTGTTTCCTTCAATTTAATAGTTAAAAAGTTTAAAACCAAACTAAAAGCCTACCATAAAGGCTGTATTTACTTTTATAAATCTTTCTACCACCTCTAACTGAATATATTATTATTTTTCTAAGTAATCTCTCTGCCCATCATGGGGCTCAAACTCCCAACCCCAAGATCAAGAGTCACATGCTCTGCCAACTGAGCCAGCCAGGTGCCCCCTGAATATACTGTTTTTAACTGCCCCTGAAGATTTTCATCTAAAAAGAATATTTTATTTAAAAATCAATCATTTCCCAGAAAATGAGCATGGATCACAATTTAGAGAGCGCAGGATGTTTTACAGAATTTACATCAAAAGCTCTCCTCCTAAAAAACCTCAAGTAAAAGATATTTTAACTTTTAACTCACAGCCAGTTCTTACATAAACTTAAGTCCTAATACCATACCATTTTCTGAACAAACAAAAGGTTTCTCTCCGGTGTGAAGGCGCTGATGTGTTTTGAGCTGTCCACTTTGAACAAAGGCTTTTCCACAGTCTGGATAGTCACAGAGATAGGGTCTCTCGCCTAAGTAGACAAATATTATGTATTATTTCTGAGACGATAAGGTGAGAAGAAGAAGGGACAGAGAGAATCAACCTCTATATAAGTTGTGACTCCGAACAATCAAACATGTCACGGCCTCTCAAACCTGAAGTGCTGGTGCTAACAGAATCACTTCTATGCTCCTGAGCAGCTCTCCACTGGGAGGCACCGGAATAATGTCCTTGGGCCTTGAGCTTTTAGGTTCCTGGCTTGAAAGCCTTGAAGTTATCTTTGGCTTATCCGGTCACTTTTCTCCCCATTATCCAAAGCACTAGCTCTCCCACTCCTGCTTTCCCACTGTACTTTGCCTGGTTAGACTGGCAGATCCTCCCACCCAGAAGGAACCCTCGCTGCCCTCTCTATTCCCTACACAGCACTTCTGGAGTGAATGACATGGAACACTTGCTTTTGTCATATGAACTACCCCCTAAATCACTTCAAACCCTACGACACCCCTTGAACAAGTGAAAATGATCTGCTTTCATTGGTCCCCTAATATCTGCACTGTAGCTACTGGGTTAGAGGGCGGGCTTTATCTTTACTTCACTCCTGAGATGCATTCCATAAGGCTGGTCCTCATCTCATTCTACTTGGAAATCCAATCTTCTCTGCCCATTCAGATCTTCCCAGTGCTGTAGGTTCTCGGTGAAATTCCTCCCACCTCCCTGCTACCTCCAAGTAATTGAACTATGTATCCCTTCACGAACTCAGTATCCACTGTTATTTATGTGTCCTGGTACTCTCCTGATACAAAGATGTGTAATACTTTGTACTCCATTGCAATTCATACATACAACACAGTGCTAGGCTTGAGAAAGTGCTTGAAAATATTGTTCAACTATAATTAAACTTACTATTTTTTGAAAAATCATTCTTTGATCAACAACTATGCACAGGTCCTTCCTATATGACTCAAAGGACAATAACAAATCCTCCCTAGTTTCTCATTATTTAGAAATGTAGTAAATGATTGTGATAGTTAAGCACAAATTAATAAAACACAGGATATGGGGGGGTATTTAAAATAGTAAGAGAAAAGTTTCTGACAAAGCATTTACATACTGGGGCTCAGCCATACCATGCAGATCTTGGGCTCAGTTCTCTGGCATACAGCATTAGCAGGCCAAGGCCTGAAAGTATTGGGGTGACACATGGTAGACTGGTGATAGATCAGGCCTGAGACTCAGGAATCTTCTCATTATGCCAAAGAGTCCTGAACCTTATCTACAGTGGCAACACATACTTTATGGCCTGTGAACCAGTTATTTGGGGGTATTTCAGACTAATTAGATCAAAAAAAATCTGAAAATTCCCAAAACCAGATATTTCATTTAGTAATGGTTTTACTGAATGGTACCTAAAGTCAAAACCTCTTGGCCACCTTAGTTTATAATGATTCAAAATTAAAACTTTACCCTTTTTCAGGGATTTAGCTAAGAAAACTATATTCTAGCATATTACTAAAATGTATCTTTTCAAAAACAAAAACAAAAACTGGGTGGTGACCATAAACACAGTGAAAAACAATAGGCAACTAAGGCTTAAAAGCCCAAACTCTAGACCAGTACTGCCCAATGGAAATATAATGTGAACCACTTCTAGTAACCACATTACAAAAGCAAAAAGAAACAGGTGAAATTAATTTTGATAATATATTTTATTTATCCCAATATATCTAAAATATTATAATTTCAATATGTAATCAATATCAAAGTCATTAAGGACATTGTTTACTTTTTCATACTAAGCATGTTTTACACATGTTGCCCATCTCAATTAGACTAGCCAAATTTCAAGTGCTCAAGAGCCACATGTGCTACTGTATTGGCCGGCATCACCCTAGACTCAAGGGTGTGGGAGGTTGTAAGGCAGTGGTCATTGCTTTTTTGGTGCCTCAGTTTCCTCATCTGTAAATTATTAAATACCATTATTAGAACCAAAAGGCTCCTTCTTCTGGGGCCAACTTTCTCTATGGAAAGAACAAGGGCCCCTCTGTTATTTCTTTGCTTTCTCTATGGTATTTAAAATAGAAGTATAGTTTCTCCACACAGAGAGAGATATGATAGTCCTGGGATAGCTACCTACAGTACATTTAATTCTGAAAAATTATACTTCACCTCAGATTAGATAGCTAGGTCAAACATTCGGATGGCACACTAAGGATTCTAGAAATTCTGCTAAAACACTTGACACATAGTGTGTTAGTATTTGGCCTACAAATCAGTTTTAACAATTATACAGACAACTGAAGGGCATATCAAGTAAAATTCAGGTAGGTAGAATGATAGAACTAAATTTAGCAATAACATTCCTATGACAACTAGATTAATTACCATGATACCTTTAGAAGTCACATGGTACCAAAGTTGAGAAAACCATTCCTTCTACAAAAAAGAAATGGACTATACAATGCCTGTTTGAAAAAACTTCACAATAGGAAATATAAAGCAACTAAAATATTAATTTATGGGCCCAAACATCAAATCAGCTTTAAATATTACTTCTACTCAACTTACCTGTATGAGTCCTTTTGTGAGCCTGGAGCGATTTCTCCCGTGGAAACACCCTATTACAGATGTTACAACGGATTCTGCTGGATGAATGCTCTCCTTCGTTTATTAGATCCCGCACAGTATCTGCTCTGGGTCTACCACGTCGGATTCCATCCTATTAACAATTTGTATAAACATTAATGTAATTTCTTGGACCCACTCATTAAAGTAAAATATCATAATAAACCATTTTTTAAATTCTTGAGTGAGGGCGCCTGGGTGGCTCAGTTGGTTGGGCGACTGCCTTCAGCTCAGGTCATGATCCCAGGGTCCTGGGATCGAGTCCTGCATCGGGCTCCCTGCTCTACGGGGAGCCTGCTTCTCCCTCTCCCACTCCCCCTGCTTGTGTTCCCTCTCTCACTGTGTCTCTCTCTGTCAAATAAATAAATAAAATCTTTAAAAAAATAAAATAAATAAATAAATAAATAAATTCTTGAGTGACATCAGTGAACATGGTAGAGTAGGTAGTTCCAAAGGCCCATTCCACCACAGATCACTGAAAAATTGAGCCAACTGTCTAAATCACCTTTATTACAACTCCAGAAAATAGTTAGAGATTTACAGCAACTCAGTCAACACTGAACCAAGAAACAGGCAACTTGAAACAGTAGGAAAGCTTTTCAGCATTTTTACGGCTTGCCCTTGCCTCTCCCTGTGGCCCACAGTAGTTTTAAAGAGCCTTCATTCTCAATATGGGAACTTAGTCCCTGGCTACAGAGACAGCAAAGCAGACCTGATTCTAAAAGACTTGTGTTTATCTGTCTTGACCTGTCTGAGGGCTACTTGAAGAACTGACACAAAGTGTTTGTCTTTGTTTTACCTAACTTAGAACTCTCTTAGGGCAAAAAGCAGTTAAACAGAGGGCATTACTCAAAAACTCTGTAAGGCCAAGAGTAAGTTACTGTTCCCTGGGGCAAAAGATTTCAATTGAGACAAAAGAACACATCAAAAGCCTGGGAGGAAAAGCTGGAGAGAGAGTTTCTTTGGGAAATTAGTGCATTGAAAAGTGCCCTGATATCCTAAAGATAAAAATTTAGAAAGCCACACACTTAGCCAGGGCAGGAAGCATGCTCAGAACAGACCCGATAAGACCCTAAGCTTTCACCTCTGACTGATCTTCTGCTAGGCACAAGCAGGAAATGAAGGCTAAGGCAGAGTTGTAATGAGTCTAAGGATTAAAGGAGAGCTACAACACAGAGCCATTTCAGCAGTCAGGAGTTTCTTCCCTTTCAATTTTTGGCTCCAGGCATTCAAGAAAATCTCTAGCAATGTTAAGCTGACTACAAGCTAATGAAACAGAAATTTAGAGAACAAATACAACAAAGAATAGAGTTTACAAAAATAGTTTAGAAAATTCACAAAACAAATAACTACAACCTGCAGCACACAACAAAAACTCTGAGGAAGGAGAAGAATCTGATTTCCAGAGTCACAACATTACAATATTCAAAACATCCCATTTTCAACAAAATGTTACTAAATATGTAAAGAAACAAAAGTATGGTCCATACACAGGAGAAATTAATAGAAACAGACCATGAGGAAGTAGACACTGGTCTTACTAGACAAAGACTTTAAATAAACAGTCTCAAGTATGCTGAGAGAGGTAATGGAAACCATGGACAAAGGACAAAAGGAAAAATAGGAGAACACTTTCAATAAACAGAAAATAACAATAAAGAAACAAATTAAAAGGGGCGCTTGGGTGACTCGGTTGAGCATCCAACTCTTGATTTTGCCTCAGGTCATGATCTCCTTGGTCTTGCGATCAAGCCCCACATCAGGCTCTGCACTCAGCAGGGAGTCTGCTTGAGATTCTTTCCCTCTGCCCCTTCCCCTGCTCGCTCCCTCTCTCTCTAAAATAAATAAATAAATCTTTAAAAAAATTATAAAAAGAAACCAAATAGAGATTCTGGAGCTAAAAATTACAATAAACGAAATGAAAAAGTTCACTAGAGAATTTGAATGGCAGATTTGACTGTCAGGAAGAACCAACAAATTTGAAGACAGGTCAATTGAAAATATCCAGTCTGAGGAACCAAAAGAGAAAAGAATGGACAGAGCCTAAGACACCTGTAGGACATCAAGTATCTTAGTCCATTTGGGCTACTATAACAAAATACCACAGACTGGGTAACCTAGAAGCAACAGAAATGTATTTCTCACAGTTCTGGAGGCTAGGAAGCCCAAGATCAAGGCACCAGTGTGGTTAGGTGAGGGCCCTGGCTGGCACCCTCTAGCTGTGTGTTCACATTGGAGCTCTCTGGAACCTTTTTCATAAAGGCTCTAATCCCCTTCAAGAGGACTCCACCCTCATGACATAAGCACCTCCCAAAGGCTCTAACTCCTAACACCATCATCTTTGAGGGTCAGGATTTTATCACACAAATTTTGGGGTACACACTCAGACCACAGCATCAAGCATACCAAAATACACATAATTGGAAACCCAGAAGGCAAAAGAAAAATGGGCGAAAGAATATTTGAAGAAATAATGGATGAAAACTTCCCCAAATTTGGTAAGATGTAAGTCTAAACATCCAAGAAGCTCAATGAACTTCAAGAAGAATAAGCACAAAGAAAGATACCCACTGAGACACATTAGGTCAACATGTCAAAAGACAAAAGGCAGAGAATCTTGAAAACAGGAGAAGCAATTCATCAGGCACAAGGAGTCCTCAATAAGATTAACAGCTGATTTCTCAGGAGAAACTATAGTAAGTAATAGGATGACATGATTAAAGTGCTGAAACGAAAAAAAAAGTCAACCAGTAATCTTACATCCAACAAAATTATCCTTCAAAAATGAAGAATAAATTAAGACATTCCCAGATAAACATAAGCTGAGAGAGTTCATGGCTAGTAGACCTGCCATACAATAAATGGAAAGGGAGTTCTTCAGGCAGAAATGAAAGGGCACTAGACAGAAATGCCATAAAAAGAAATAAAGAACACTGATAAAGGTAATTACATAAGTAAATACAAATGCCAAAAGTCTTATATTTTTGGCTCATAACTCCTCTTTTTCTCCTATATAATTTAAAAGACAAATAAATGCCAGGTGCACCTGGCTGGCTCAATCAGAGGAGCATGCAACTCATGATCTCAGGGTCGTGAGTTCAAGCTCCATGTTGGGGGTAGAGATTACATAAATAAACAAAAACAAACTTTTTAAGAAAAGACAAATGTCACATGTATTTAAAAAATTACAAATCCATGTTAATTGGAACATAATATTAAGAAGATGTAATTTGTGACTATAACAAAGAGGGACAGATAGAGCTGCATAAGAGCAGAGTTTTTGTACACTATTGTAGCTAAGGTGGTCCTAATTAAAAATAGATTGTTTTAAGTCTAAGAGATTAATTGAAATTCCCAGGGTGATCACTTAAAAAAAAAAACAAAACCTAAAAATCAAAAAAGGAAACAAGAATGAAAATAGTATACTACAAAAAATAAAACAAAATAAACACAAAGAAGGCAGTAAGAGAGTAATTGAGAAACCAAACAGGTATAAGACATATAGAAAACAAATAACAAAATACCAAAAGTAAGTTCTTCCTTAACAGTAGTCACTTTATTTTATTTATTTTTTTAAAGATTTTATTTATTTATTTGACAGAGAGAGACACAGTGAGAGAGGGAACTCAAGCAGGGGGAGTGGGAGAGGGAAAAGCAGGCTTCCCATAGAACAGGGAGCCTGATGCAGGGCTCGTCCCAGGACTCTGGGATCATGACCTGAGCTGAAGGCAGACACTTAAAGACTGAGCCACCCAGGCACCCCAACAGTAGTCACTTTAAATGTAAATAGATTAAATTTGCCTATTAAAAGGTAGAAATTAGCAAAATTGATTTTTAAAAAATGATCCAACTATATGCTGCCTACAACAGACTTCTTTAAATACAAAAACACAAATAGGTTAAAAGAGAAAGGATGGAGGGGCTCTTGGATGGCTCAGTCAGTAGAGCATGGAACTCGTGATCTCAGGGTGGTAAGTTCAAGCCCCACCTTGGGCTTAGAGCTTACTTTAAGAGAGAGAGAGAGAGAGAAAGGATGAAAAAAGGGATAACAATTATAAACACTCACTCACCTAACAACAGAGCCCCCAAAATGTATGAAGCAAAAATTGACAGAATCGAAAGGAGTTCAAAATAGCTGGAGACTTTCACTTTTAATAATAGATAGGACAACTAGACAGGTCAACAAAGATCTAGAAGACTTGAACAACACCCCAAGCCAACTAGACCTAACACATATACAGAACACTCCACAGCAAAATATGCATTTTTCTCAAGTGCACATGGAATATTCCCAAGGAAATACCGTACGTTAGGCCAAAAGCAAGTACTGATAAATTTTACAAGACTGAAATCATCCAAAATATCTTCTGTGACAAACATGGAATGAAACTATAAATCAAAAACCAAAAGAAAAATGGAAAATTCACAAGTAGGTGAAAATTAAACAGTCTTGAACAGCCAGTGGGTCAAAGAAGAAATCACAAGGGAAATTCAAAAATACCCTGACACAAATGAAAACAAAAACACAATATTATCAAAACTTAGGGGATACAGTTCTTGGATCGGAGGACTTAATAGATGATAACAATGCTACCCAAAGTGATGTACAGATTTAGTGCAATCCCTATTAAAATTCCAAAGGCTTTTTTTTTCCAGAAATGGAAAAAGTGATCCTCCAACTCATATAAAATTACAAGAGACTCCAAATAACCAAACAATATTTAAAAAGAGCAAAGCAGAAGGACACACATGTCCCTATTTCAAAACTTACTGCAAAGCAGCAACAATCAAGACAGTGTGGTTCTGGCATAAAGAAAGACACACAGACCAGTGAAACAGAATTGAGAGGCAAGAAATAAATCCTTATCTATGGCAAACTTATTTTCAACAAGGGTGCCAAGAACATTCAGTGGGTAAAGAATTGTCTCTTCAACAAATGGTTCTGAGATAACTGCATTTCTACATACAAAAGAATGAAGTTGGATCCCTACCTCACATGATATTAAAAAAATAACTCAAGGGGTGCCTGGCTGGCTCAACCAGAAGAGCATGCAACTCCTGATCTCAGGATAGTGAGTTTGAGCCCCACACTGG